CATAGGAAATGAATGGGTAGCACTTGATTATGTTCATCCATCTGATAGTACACAACCAAATCAACAACCATGTTGAATTGGAATACAGTTTCCGTGTCTATTCTTTGTATAATCACTGCGGTTACTCATGTAACCCAGTTCTCTGAGACTTTGTTTACAGCTGAAAAGGGAGTTTAAAATGTGGTTAGGATGAATGGTTTTTGTGTTAATGTAAGAGCCGGTAAAAAGACCAGTCAGATTTGCCCGACAACACCAAAGTAAGGGGGGAGAACCGAACACGTCAGGAGGGTTAACGACAAATTGCCGCTAAAATATTGTCTATGCCCGACTGCTTGAAATATCTCCACACAGGAAGTGAGGGAACAAACAACTGACCAATAAGAAAAACAAAGCAGTAAAGATTTCAATGCAGCTACATTTTCTCTGTGTATTCGAGAAAGCAAGATACAAGGCTTTTATTGTCATGTGTACATAGCTACAGTGCAGATATATCAATGCAAATCTTAGATCACAGGCTCCAAAACTGCATGTATGAGCAGAACAGTGTTGGTCCGTGTCTGTAGGTCAGCCTGTGGTTTTGGACGGACTTCAGACAGCAGGGTTCCTGCAGGGTTAGTGAGCGGACAGAGAGGCGTCACTACTGTGCTGCCTGGAACAGTGTATCAAAGCCTAATCCGCTCCATTAAGGGTTTGTGTGTCTGGAGCCCTTTCACACACACACAGCATGGCCCTTGTTTGTACAGCAGTGCAGTTGTCTTGGGTTTGGGGGGGGGGGGGGGGTTCGGCGTTGGTGGCTGCAGCTGTGCCCCTCTTTTTGCTCCGTGAAACCAGAGAGCCCGGGCACTGCTGGCCCATAAAGAGCCTGCGCAGACACCCTGTCAGCAGCCACTGGAGACACCTCGAAGTCTTCCTCCTTTGTTAGAAAAATCTCACTGGTCCCCGGTTTGAGCTTCAACCTCAGGATCCATGTATTTGTGATCCTCTCCAGAAGTAGTCATCACATACAGAGCATCAACTAGTTCCTGAACAGTGTCCTTCACATGCTGATATCCAAGAGAGGGAGTTACACAGTCACAAGATGGAGGAATAGAAAGCAGTATTCAATGTTTACTTCAGATTAGCTCCACGTCAGAAATGAGCATGCTTGTCATATGTCTCTCTCCATAGAGGCTGAATCATCATGTTAATCACATAGCTATCATCTGCCTCAAACAGTCCTGATGCTCTTCTAGGTAATCACACATCCTGTCATGTTCACAGCTACAGTTGGGATACCTTTGTTATCATGTGGACTCTGACATTGGAAGAGTACATTCAGTATTTCCCCAACATCCATCAACCCTTTCAACCGTGAAGGAAAGGAGTCAGACAGAAGACAGGGGGCTAACCGCATTGGCCTCCAGAAGTTTAAATATGGGTTCATCAAGCAGCTGGAGTAATAAAGTAGCCAGTTGTTTCTCGGCCATTAAGGAAGAAAACCAGACATATTTACTGTGGACAAATCCTACAAGTCCCTCCAGAGACTTAAGTGATACTTCTCACAGCCTGTTAACATGGAGGTTCTTTTTATGTACCCATCACTGGAGACCATTCATGTATCTGTGTTTTAGCATTAATATGAACTTAACAGGTCATTTGGATTTCACACTCTATCTTAGTACAATACTCACATGCAAAATGTACATTGGAAGAGTTATCAGGTGCTTTAAATCGTCCTCTTAGCTGCAACATGAGATCAAGTCTATGGATCATGAAGTCAATCTGAAGCCAACATGAGAGTTAGACACATCAAGTGAGTATTGTATCCTAGTGTTAGTGTGAAGGTTTAATGCTGGCAGTGTTAATCTGTTTCAACTTTGGATAGCGTTTCCCATATGGCTGTAAATGGAAAAGGTGTTGGGGAGATAACTAGGGTTAGAGATCACCTTCTTCTACTTGTTCTTCATAAAGATCGTGTGTACTTGCCTCCATGGGTCAGTTGTGCTTTCATAAATCCACCCTGAAACAAAAGCATTGAATATAGCAGTGATTTGTGAGGAGCATTATTCATCTAGATATTAGATGTATATATATAATTCTGTTTGAGTTGTGTTCTGGGGCTTGTGTTGGTTCACATTTAAAATCTCTTAAGAACAACACTTGCTTTTCTTACGACTAAAGCCAGATGTGCGCACGTCATTATGTCACCGTGTACATCGACTTTTCCCGGCAACGGCAGCACAAATTTGAGGGTGTCTCTGAATTGTAAACCCGAAAAAATGGGTCTTAAATCGAGCTCCGGCTTCAAACCATCCCTGGAATTGCCTGAATGGAAAAACACTATTTGAGGATAATGACTGAACTTGCACTCTCGTTTCTACACAACTGAATTACATGCTCAGTATGTGTGACTCGAGCGACTGCACTTGTTGTTCCTTTGAGTGAATGTCAAAGCCTCTATGGCAAATATCAACACTACAAACGTAACAATCGATTCCCCGTGATTTGACCGACTGAAATTCTATATTGCGATATTCACTTGAGCAAATGTAATGATTTGATGGCTTTTATATTATCCTGGCAATGGCCTCGATGCAAACTAAGCTCTTAGCAGAAATTCAACTGTTGAAATATGTCAAGAGTATTCACCGCCACTACTGAGAATGAAAGATCACTGCATGGTTTGTTGCTGGTGAAACCCACAAAGAAAACAGCACATGGTGATTTACTGCGTGGGGATCAATCTGAACACACACACACACTCACACTCACACTCACACTCACACTCACACTCACACTCACACTCACACTCACACTCACACACACACACATACCATGTATACATCACTTCAGGGGACATAACATTGACTTACATGCATTTCCTGGAGACTTATCCTAACCTTAACCATAACCAACACATGCCTAACCCTAACCCTAACCCTTACCTTAACCCTAACCAAGTCTTCACCCTAAAATTAATGATACCCCTCCATTATGTCCCCATAAGGGAGGCGAGTCCCCACATGTGACTGTGTGAACAGATTTAGGTCCCCACAAGTATAGTAATGCTAGGACACACACACACACACACACACACACACACACACACACACACACACCAGTAAACAAAGCTTACAAAAGCAACGAGCTCGAAGTTCTTCACTCTTTTTTTTTGACAAATATTTGTATTGGTATTTTGTTTTTTCAGCATAAGACATTGCACAAGTAAGTTCTTCACTCCTTGGTAAATATGTATAAAGTGACACAGTTAGATGTAATATATTTCCATTTGATGGAATGGTATAGTTTTTATTTTAGTTTTTTTTTATTCTCATGTATTTTCCAAAATCTTGTGAATTCAGCGTTGACATCATGATTCTTGTTTTTGTCCTTAAAGTAACAGATTTCTTCTCAAACTGTAGAAGCTTTGCACCTCGGACACAAGCTGTCTCTGCCTCATACAGGTCTTTCCTTATCATTATAAAAAGCTTTGAAATACCTAAATAACACCAGATCGCTGCAAGCCAACCATTACTTTCTGGACTTCTGTGATTTAGGTAAACCAACGACCTCAGGTGTGTAACAGAAGACTGACTATCTGAAGGTTTGTGCTCAAACGACAGCCAGTAGAGAAGTGAGCTGACTACTACGACCCACGTTAGTGTTAGTCAAACATTTACGTTGCTAGGCTAAAGGCACCACTTTGGTAAGGGTCCCATTTTAAAAAGTGTGGGACCGCTGTGTCTAGTGGTGAGGCAAAAGAAAAGACTTCAAAGAGGAGACATAACAGCTTAAAACATTGAAGACATTTTCAGCCTTTAGCATGCAGAAGAACACAGTATGCATACATTTACTCTTCCTCGAATATACACACACACACACACACACACACACACACACACACACACACACACACACACACACACACACACAGTAGGAGTTAACTCTTACTGGCTGCCACACACACACACACACACACACACACACACACACACACACACACACACACACACAGTAGGAGTTAACCTTTTACTGGCCACACACACACACACACACACACACACACACACACACACATACAGTAGGAGTTCACCTTTTACTGGCTGCTATACACACACACACACACACACACACACACACACACACACACACACAGAGTTCACTCTTACTGGCTGCCACACACACACACACACGTCACACACACACACACGTCACACACACACAGTAGGAGTTAACCTCTTACTGGCCACACACACACACACACACACACGCACACACACAGTAGGAGTTCACCTCTTACTGGCTGCTATATACATACACACACACACACACACACACACACACACACACACACAGTAGGAGTTAACTCTTACTGGCTGCCACACACACACACACACACACACACACACACACACACACACACACACGTCACACACACACGTCACACACACACACAGTAGGAGTTAACCTCTTACTGGCCACACACACGCACACACACAGTAGGAGTTCACCTCTTACTGGCTGCTATATACATATACACACACACACACACACACACACACACACACACACACACACACACAGTTCACTCTTACTGGCTGCTACACACAGACACACACACACATTCATTTTCATTGTCAATAGTGATGTTTAGCAGGTTTAACAATTACCATCATTGCTTGTTAGCATGCTAAAATTACCCTGTTCGCAGTAAAGGTAATAGTTTTGCAGGTATGGGGTCATAATTGAAATTATTGAAAAATATAAAATGCTCACCTGATCAACACGAATCAACACTCATTATACAGTAATTAATCCCATATATTTTATAAATTGCTAAGATATTTTAATAGATGTTAAGATTGAATAGCAAAGACTTGAGATACACTGTACTCTGTCCCACATCTGACACACATTTTGTCTTTTTAAAGCAACATTTTAAGTACTTTACTAAACGACTAATTCAATTATATGTATTTTTTTCTATTTCTATATCAGTTGAAGCTGAAACCTTGTGTCTTCTCCTGTGTGCAGGTGCAGCTCTGCGTGAGATGGCCATGTCGTCGCTCTGCCACAGCACCCTCACTCTGGCCCTGGCCCTCTGCTTCCTGCCGTGCATCACCTCCTCCCTCAACCTGGAGGACCCCAACGTCTGCAGCCACTGGGAGAGGTGGGTCACAGTACCAATTTCTTTAAAAGCATTTCACCTGATAAGCATTTGTTACACTCTGATTTTGAATGTCATGGAAATGTGCAATAAGGAAATCGAAAACCTAAGAGACAACCACATCAAAACCACTCCAATCCAACTTTATTTATATCGCACAGTAATATACGTGGTCTGCAAAAGCATGGGAGAACAAGTGGGTTTTTTAACGAGATTTAAAAACAGTCAACAGATTAAAGTTCAATATCAATCAAGTCCGTTTTTTTGGCCCGCAATTAGATCAGTATTCTCTGTGGATTACTTTGTTCCTACAACGTCAAATTATTTCTGTTTGCCCTTTGAATTGTTGATGCCCCTGTGGTACTTAGGCTGCTACTTTCCCAGTGTTTCGGCACCTTTTTGACATTTAATATGGCACTGTGTTACAAGTGAACTTCCTACATTGTAGTTCATTGTCTCTCTGGTACCTTAAGACCCCGACCTTACCAACAAACCCCCCCTGCTGTCTTAAAGCATGGCTGTTTTCAGTCTGAATTCCTTTTAAGGATGACAGTCAGGACACGGTTAGCCTAGCTTAGCATAAAGACTCGAAGCTAGCTAACTGCTAGGTTAATATGTGCTTCTACCAACACATCTAAAGCTCCTGATTCACATTCTTAATAGCATGTTGTATCTCGTTTCTGCTTGGATACAGATAAAACAGACATGAGACAAAGTGCTAATTAGTGAAATTATACTCTGATATTTCTTAGTAAAGTGGAGGCACATTTCCCAGCTATATTGCCTTTCACGGACTAATCTGAGGAACAGCTGCACACACACACACACACACACACACACACACACACACACACACACACACACACACACACACACACACACACACACACACACACACAGAGCCTACATGTGTTGTTGTTGAAGACAAGAGAGAGGGAAGACACCAAGCGATTTAATTTATTTGCCCAACAAAATAAGCAGTCAGTCAACATTACAAAGCAGAACATTAGCTTAGCTTTAAATGTAAGTCTGGTGTTAGCCTTAACAAAGAAAACATTTTACCTTTTAAAAAGTTTTTTGCCCAGATTCGTTAGAAAACCACATTATAAAAGGCTGAAAAAGCAAATTCCTTCATTACGTGCTTCCAGGCCTTATGATATAGGCCTGGAAGCAAGTCATGAAGTCATTGGTAACGCTTTATCTTGTGGACTTTCCATTTCTTATTAATTTCCTCTGACGTTTTCAAAAAAGACCAGTTCAGTTTGTTAAAATGTTAATTGAATTACAACCCTGAGGCATTTTCTTCCGTCACCATGTCCAAGCAACAAAGAATCTTATTCACATTCTAAAAACGACAGATTGCAGTGAGGTTTTGATTTGTTCAGGTCTAAATTGATGGATGCATCTCAAATAAAAGCAGCGCTTACTATGAAATGATCCTAACATTGGCTTTTATGTGAGGACATTATGAATCGCCAGTTATCAGAAGATTAATTGTATTTCTTTTACAAGCAGTTTAGGTCATTTATCAAACACTAAAATGATCCTATATTACTGTAAAATGAATGTCTTTGGGTTAAGGTTCATTTGAAGGCTTTTTTTCACAGTGTCTGATATCTGATCAAATGTAAGATCCATCAATCAAGAACAATGTGTGAAAGGTCCCATGTCATGGCCATTTCTACTGATCATAACTCCATTGTTGAGGTCTACTAGAATATATTTATATTGTGTAATGTTCCAAACTCACATTGGTTTCTCATACAGCATCTCTGTATAGTATGTGTATTCACTCTCTGTCCTAAACGGCTTGTTGGAGCTCCTGCCCCCCCCCCCCCCTCCCTATGAGCCCACTGTGCTCTGATTGGTCGGGACGTTGCGAGGCTCGCTGCTCAGTGAGCTGGCTTACTGGTGTGGTTTCCGGGTCGGTGATACAGCGAGACAGCGCGAAACTCATCCTGAGCACACACAAACACTCACAGCCGAAGTAAAAACAATAAGTGTGGCTTGATATTGAGAAAGAAAAAGGTTTGTAACGCTGTGAGAATGGGTCTGCGGAGAGCATTTATCCGCCATCCCAACTCGTCTATTACCAACCAGGGAGCTCTATGCAAGTCAATGGGACTCCCTGTTAGTTAGCCAAGGGATCCTGGGGTGTGAGGGGCTCCGCGGATTGGTCCATTTTGGTTCCTGGAAGAACCAAATGGAAAAATAAAAATGTCCAACGAGGCGTTCTGGGGCAGCATAGACAGGTCTTTTCTGTGTTAGAGTTTTACTCGCTACAGGGTGTACTTTGAGGGTTTGTGACTCTGCAGACCGTTTACATACAGAAAAACCTTCATAACTCACAAGAGGACGGGTAATAACCTGAAAAGCATGACATGGGACCTTTAATTTAGCCCAAGTTTCACTGATACAAGTTGACAGCAAATGTATAAATTACAGGTGATTCAATAATGGAATCAACATAGCAAACAAAACGGTATATCCCTTTTATTCAACGTGGCTTTCTCTTTTTAATACTAATCAGACTGAATAATAGAGCAGATTTGAGCTAGATTAAAAGTGGAACCAACAGAAATAAACAACCAATAATGAAATAAATGAGCCATAAGAGATATAATATGTAACTGAAGTGAAATGCATGCCTCCAAAGAGCCTGTGTTAATAGGGGTTCAAGAGGCAGTCGTACTTTTTAACCCTAAAAAAGTATTGATTTGCACGATTATTGAAGTCTCTCTCTCTCTCTCTCTCTCTCCTCTCTCTCTCTCTCTCTCTCTCTCTCTCTCTCCTCTCTCTCTCTCTCTCTCTCTCTCTCTCTCTCTCTCTCTCTCTCTCTCTCTCTCTCTCTCTCTCTCACACACACTTGATGTCAGAGAGCAGCATTTTAAACAAGAGGCAGTGGAGATTTCTTATAGGTGTCTTTCCCTGACAGTTCAATAACTAAAGATTCAAAGGCTTTATTCACAATATCTCACACACACACACTCACACACACACACACACACACACACACACACACACACACACACACACACACACACACACACACAGTGACCTGACTCTCTTTCTCTCTTGCAGTTACTCGGTGACGGTGCAGGAGTCGTACGCCCACCCCTTTGATCAGATTTATTACGCCAGCTGCAGCGACCTCCTCAACTGGTTTAAGTGCACGCGACACAGGTGAGGCCCTGATACACTGTGTGTGTGTGTGTGTGTGTGTGTGTGTGTGTGTGTGTGTGTGTGTGTGTGTGTGTGTGTGTGTGTGTGTGTGTGTGTGGTGTGTGTGTGTGTGTGTGTGTGTGTGTGTGTGTGTGTGTGTGTGTGTGTGTGTGTGTGTGTGTGTGTGTGTGTGTGTGTGTGTGTGTGTGTGTGTGTGTGTGTGTGTGTGTGTGTGTGTGTGTGGAACATACCATTGTTGTTGCATGCTATGTATTACAGTATACTCCGACCACCTGTGAACCATTTTCCAAATCGTACCACAGTGATTTTTATACTTGTTGTTCGAGTCAGGCAACATATGGTAATGCTTAATGCACACATCTAAATGCACTTGCAATTTTTAGACTTAACAATGAGAACAATCTCACTTCCCTTAATATAAACAGACGTAAAAGCTGTTGTTATCATGCAGCCTCCTTACGAGCTGTAGTGTGAATGAAGTTGAACTAATACAGGCAACTCAGGCGTGTTTCCAAGAGACAAGTATCGTTATATTCATTATCATTTTTATATCAAACCACTCAAATGCAATATGAACGATAAGCATTTGTCAAAGCGTACTGGGCAATAGTAAAGTAGTCTTATAAACAACTGAGTGTATTGTACTGTTGTATTGGACTGCATTAAGAGGCTACTCAGTGTATAAAACAATCTGAAATAAATGGTGTTGCCTTGAATTGTTAACAACGAAGGGGACGGTGCCGATCAAATGAAAAATAAATTAAATTTAAATAAAGATGCAAGCAAATATGAATTAAATAAAAATTTAATAAATACAGTTCCAAGTAAACTAGTAGCAGCATTATAAAATGTACTGAACATATATAGAGTAGTGAACTAGTCGCCAGTTATTACATTGTTTAACTGCAAATGTATATATTGAGCAATGTGAGATACAGTATATATAATATAACACTATATTAATACATACTTTCAAAGTCATGGTGAACTTTTCAACTGTACACAGTCGTTGTGGTTCCGATGCCGTCAGCTGATGGTGTTGTGTGTTAGCAACCGCACTGAGGTGGGATCAGCTGATTGAACCTGGGTGAAAACGTTCAAAAACATTTCAGGGAAAAAGCAGAAAGAGGGCAGAGTGGTGAGCTACTGTTCATGATACATTCAGATTTATGCATTTGACACAGACTCCTTTAGGCCTCAAAGTGTCTTCATCAGGACAGAAATTGACTTAAAGGTCACCTATTATGCAAAATCCACTTCCTCATGTCTCTTCTACATCAACATGTGTCCCCTCTTCTTCATGTCTCTTCTACATCAACATGTGTCCCCTCTTCTTCATGTCTCTTCTACATCAACATGTATCCCCTCTTCTTCATGTCTCTTCTACATCAACATGTGTCCCCTCTTCTTCATGTCTCTTCTTCATCAACATGTGTCCCCTCTTCTTCATGTCTCTTTTACATCAACATGTGTCCCCTCTTCTTCATGTCTCTTCTACATCAACATGTGTCCCCTCTTCTTCATGTCTCTTCTACATCAACATGTGTCCCCTCTTCTTCATGTCTCTTCTACATCAACATGTGTGCCCTCTTCTTCATGTCTCTTCTACATCAACATGTGTCCCCTCTTCTTCATGTCTCTTCTACATCAACATGTGTCCCCTCTTCTTCATGTCTCTTCTACATCAACATGTGTCCCCTCTTCTTCATGTCTCTTCTACATCAAACATGTGTCCCCTCTTCTTCATGTCTCTTCTACATCAACATGTGTCCCCTCTTCTTCATGTCTCTTCTACATCAACATGTGTCCCCTCTTCTTCATGTCTCTTCTACATCAATATGTGTCCCCTCTTCTTCATGTCTCTTCTACATCAATATGTGTCCCCTCTTCTTCATGTCTCTTCTACATCAACATGTGTCCCCTCTTCTTCATGTCTCTTCTACATCAATATGTGTCCCCTCTTCTTCATGTCTCTTCTATATCAACATGTGTCCCCTCTGTGGAAAGAGACTCTGAAAGTTTCAGGAACAAAGATTCTCTCTCTTTTTGATCCATTTCTATAAAAACCTGTCTGAAAACGAGGTGATCAGATTTTGGCCACTTTATGATGTCATAATGGCTTGTGTAACCATTAGCCAATCACCAACCAAGGTAACCAAACACTTCAGAGACATGTTTTGTATATATCTGAGACCTATAATATATTGATGAAAAACAGTATAATAGGGAACCTTTAAGTATAACTTCCTTCACTGTCTGATCCTGTGTGTGACCTCACTTCCTGTCAGGGTGAGCTATCGGACAGCCTATCGGAGAGGAACTAAGACGATGTACCGGAGAAAGTCCCAGTGCTGCCCGGGCTTCAACGAGAATGGAGAGATCTGTGCACGTGAGTTTCTCCACACACTCAGCAGCAGTCACTTTAAATGAATGATTAAAACACAAACGGACAATAATTATTACGTTTTTGATGTGAAGAGTCTGGTCATATAGTGCGGAAAATGCACAAGCTGTGAAATCTTTTTTTGAATTTCATTTTTTAGTAGGATCAGGAAATGTTACAGAACAAGCCAGAAACGCTCAAACCTTTTCTGATGTTGGTAATTTTCCAATTAAAATGTAAAACAATAAACGTTCAAACTGAAAACAGAGTCTTTGGCTTAACAAGATACTTAAGATTCATTTTCCAAAAACAATAGCCTGCACTGTTACTTCTTAAGTTAGGTCTTATATCATCAAGAGGAAAGACATATTCTTACTCGATATTAGACAAAAATACTTCGAAACATTTCAAGTTTTTGTAGTGTATGGCTCTCAGTCATAGTCAGCAAGAGGTGGGAAGTAGTGGAGTACAAATACTTTGTTACAATACTTAAGTACATTTCTCTGGTATCAGTACTTTACTCCACTACTTATTTTTCTGACGACTTTTTACTTTGACTTCTTACATGTTGAACTCAAATACCTGTACTTTCTACTTCTTACATTTTGAACATAAATACCTGTACTTTCTACTTCTTACATGTTGAACACAAATACCTGTACTTTCTACTTCTTACATTTTGAACATAAATACCTGTACTTTCTACTTCTTACATGTTGAACACAAATACCTGTACTTTCTACTTCTTACATGTTGAACTCAAATACCTGTACTTTCTACTTCTTACATGTTGAACACAAATACCTGTACTTTCTACTTCTTACATGTTGAACCCAAATACCTGTACTTTCTACTTCTCACATGTTGAACTCAAATACCTGTACTTTCTACTTCTTACATGTTGAACACAAATACCTGTACTTTCTACTTCTTACATGTTGAACACAAATACCTGTACTTTCTACTTCTTACATTTTGAACACAAATACCTGTACTTTCTACTTCTTACATGTTGAACACAAATACCTGTACTTTCTACTTCTTACATGTTGAACTCAAATACCTGTACTTTCTACTTCTTACATGTTGAACACAAATACCTGTACTTTCTACTTCTTACATGTTGAACCCAAATACCTGTACTTTCTACTTCTTACATGTTGAACACAAATACCTGTACTTTCTACTTCTTACATGTTGAACACAAATACCTGTACTTTCTACTTCTCACATGTTGAACTCAAATACCTGTACTTTCTACTTCTTACATGTTGAACACAAATACCTGTACTTTCTACTTCTTACATGTTGAACACAAATACCTGTACTTTCTACTTCTCACATGTTGAACTCAAATACCTGTACTTTCTACTTCTTACATGTTGAACTCAAATACCTGTACTTTCTACTTCTTACATGTTGAACACAAATACCTGTACTTTCTACTTCTCACATGTTGAACTCAAATACCTGTACTTTCTACTTCTTACATGTTGAACTCAAATACCTGTACTTTCTACTTCTTACATGTTGAACACAATACCTGTACTTTCTACTTCTCACATGTTGAACTCAAATACCTGTACTTTCTACTTCTTACATGTTGAACACAAATACCTGTACTTTCTACTTCTTACATGTTGAACACAAATACCTGTACTTCTACTTCTCACATGTTGAACACAAATACCTGTACTTTCTACTTCTTACATGTTGAACTCAAATACCTGTACTTTCTACTTCTTACATGTTGAACACAAATACCTGTACTTTCTACTTCTTACATGTTGAACTCAAATACCTGTACTTTCTACTTCTTACATGTTGAACTCAAATATCTGTACTTTCTACTTCTTACATGTTGAACTCAAATACCTGTACTTTCTACTTCTTACATGTTGAACACAAATACCTGTACTTTCTACTTCTCACATGTTGAACACAAATACCTGTACTTTCTACTTCTTACATGTTGAACTCAAATACCTGTACTTTCTACTTCTTACATGTTGAACTCAAATACCTGTACTTTCTACTTCTTACATGTTGAACACAAATACCTGTACTTTCTACTTCTTACATGTTGAACTCAAATACCTGAACTTTCTACTTCTTACATGTTGAACACAAATACCTGTACTTTCTACTTCTTACATGTTGAACTCAAATACCTGTACTTTCTACTTCTTACATGTTGAACACAAATACCTGTACTTTCTACTTCTTACATGTTGAACACAAATACCTGTACTTTCTACTTCTTACATGTTGAACTCAAATACCTGTACTTTCTACTTCTCACATGTTGAACTCAAATACCTGTACTTTCTACTTCTTACATGTTGAACTCAAATACCTGTACTTCTACTTCTTACATGTTGAACTCAAATACCTGTACTTTCTACTTCTTACATGTTGAACTCAAATACCTGTACTTTCTACTTCTCACATGTTGAACACAAATACCTGTACTTTCTACTTCTCACATGTTGAACACAATACCTGTACTTTCTACTTCTTACATGTTGAACTCAAATACCTGTACTTTTCTACTTCTTACATGTGAACTCAAATACCTGTACTTTCTACTTCTTACATGTTGAACACAAATACCTATACCTGTACTTTCTACTTCTTACATGTTGAACTCAAATACCTGTACTTTCTACTTCTTACATGTTGAACTCAAATACCTGTACTTTCTACTTCTTACATGTTGAACTCAAATATCTGTACTTTCTACTTCTTACATGTTGAACTCAAATACCTGTACTTTCTACTTCTTACATGTTGAACACAAATACCTGTACTTTCTACTTCTCACATGTTGAACACAAATACCTGTACTTTCTACTTCTTACATGTTGAACTCAAATACCTGTACTTTCTACTTCTTACATGTTGAACTCAAATACCTGTACTTTCTACTTCAACATGTTGAACACTCAAATACATGTAACTTCTTCTACTTCTTACAGGTTGACTCAAAATGACCTACTTTCTTACTTCTTACACATGTTGAACTCAAATACCTGTGTACTTCTTCTACTTCTTACATGTTGAACATCAAAATACCTGTACTGTCGAACTACTTCTTACATGTTGAACACAAATACCTGTACTTTTCTACTTCTTACATGTTGACTCAAATACCTGTACTTTCTAACTTCTCACATTGTGAACTCAAATTACCTGTACTTTCTACTTCTTCACATGTTGAACTCAAATAACTGTACTTTCTACTTCTTACATGTTGAACTCAAATACCCTGTACTTTCCTACTTCTTTACATGTTGAACTCAAATACCTGTACTTTCTACTTTCGTCACATGTTAACTCAAATACCTGTACTTTTCTACTTCTTACATGTTGAAACACAAATACCGTACTTTCTACTTCTTACATGTTGAACTCAATACCTGTACTTTCTACTTCTTACATGTTGAACACAAATACCTGTACTTTCTACTTCTTACATGTTGAACACAAATACCTGTACTTTCTACTTCTTACATGTTGAACACAAATACCTGTACTTTCTACTTCTCATATGTTGAACTCAAATACCTGTACTTTCTACTTCTTACATGTTTTACACAAATACCTGTACTTTCTACTTCTTACATGTTGGACACAAATACCTGTACTTTCTACTTCTCACATGTTGAACACAAATACCTGTACTTTCTACTTCTTACATGTTGAACTCAAATACCTGTACTTTCTACTTCTACATGTTGAACACAAATACCTGTACTTTCTACTTCTCACATGTAAACACAAATACCTGTACTTTCTACTTCTTACATGTTGAACTCAAATACCTGTACTTTCTACTTCTTACATGTTGAACACAAATACCTGTACTTTCTACTTCTCACATGTTAAACACAAATACCTGTACTTTCTACTTCTTACATGTTGAACTCAAATACCTGAACTTTCTACTTCTTACATGTTGAACACAAATACCTGTACTTTCTACTTCTCACATGTTGAACACAAATACCTGTACTTTCTACTTCTTACATGTTGAACTCAAATACCTGTACTTTCTACTTCTTACATGTTGAACACAAATACCTGTACTTTCTACTTCTTACATGTTGAACTCAAATACCTGTACTTTCTACTTCTTACATGTTGAACACAAATACCTGTACTTTCTACTTCTTACATGTTGAACACAAATACATGTACTTCTACTTCTTACATGTTGAACACAAATACCTGTACTTTCTACTTCTCACATGTTGAACACAAATACCTGTACTTTCTACTTCTTACATGTTGAACACAAATACCTGTACTTTCTACTTCTTACATGTTGAACACAAATACCTGTACTTTCTACTTCTTACATGTTGAACACAAATACCTGTACTTTCTACTTCTCACATGTTGAACACAAATACCTGTACTTTCTACTTCTTACATGTTGAACACAAATACCTGTACTTTCTACTTCTCACATGTTGAACACAAATACCTGAACTTTCTACTTCTTACATGTTGAACTCAAATACCTGTACTTTCTACTTCTTGCATGTTGAACACAAATACCTGTACTTTCTACTTCTCACATGTTGAACACAAATACCTGAACTTTCTACTTCTTACATGTTGAACTCAAATACCTGTACTTTCTACTTCTTGCATGTTGAACTCAAATACCTGTACTTTCTACTTCTTACATGTTGAACACAAATACCTGTACTTTCTACTTCTTACATTTTGAACACAAATACCTGTACTTTCTACTTCTTACATGTTGAACACAAATACCTGTACTTTCTACTTCTTACATGTTGAACACAAATACCTGTACTTTCTACTTCTTACATGTTGAACACAAATACCTGTACTTTCTACTTCTTACATTTTGAACACAAATACCTGTACTTTCTACTTCTTACATGTTGAACACAAATACCTGTACTTTCTACTTCTTACATGTTGAACTCAAATACCTGTACTTTCTACTTCTTACATGTTGAACCCAAATACCTGTACTTTCTACTTCTTACATGTTGAACTCAAATACCTGTACTTTCTACTTCTTACATGTTGAACACAAATACCTGTACTTTCTACTTCTTACATGTTGAACACAAATACCTGTACTTTCTACTTCTTACATGTTGAACCCAAATACCTGTACTTTCTACTTCTTACATGTTGAACTCAAATACCTGTACTTTCTACTTCTTACATGTTGAACACAAATACCTGTACTTTCTACTTCTTACATGTTGAACACAAATACCTGTACTTTCTACTTCTTACATGTTGAACTCAAATACCTGTACTTTCTACTTCTTACATGTTGAACTCAAATACCTGTACTTTCTACTTCTTACATGTTGAACTCAAATACCTGTACTTTCTACTTCTCACATGTTGAACTCAAATACTTGTACTTTCTACTTCTCACATGTTGAACTCAAATACCTGTACTTTCTACTTCTTACATGTTGAACACAAATACCTGTACTTTCAAGTTTTACATGTTGAACCCAAATACCTGTACTTTCTACTTCTTACATGTTGAACACAAATACCTGTACTTTCTACTTCTTACATGTTGAACACAAATACCTGTACTTTCTACTTCTTACATGTTGAACCCAAATACCTGTACTTTCTACTTCTTACATGTTGAACTCAAATACCTGTACTTTCTACTTCTTACATGTTGAACACAAATACCTGTACTTTCTACTTCTTACATGTTGAACACAAATACCTGTACTTTCTACTTCTTACATGTTGAACACAAATACCTGTACTTTCAAGTTTTACATGTTGAACCTAAATACCTGTACTTTCTACTTCTTACATGTTGAACTCAAATACCTGTACTTTCTACTTCTCACATGTTGAACTCAAATACTTGTACTTTCTACTTCTCACATGTTGAACTCAAATACCTGTACTTTCTACTTCTTACATGTTGAACACAAATACCTGTACTTTCAAGTTTTACATGTTGAACCCAAATACCTGTACTTTCTACTTCTTACATGTTGAACTCAAATACCTGTACTTTCTACTTCTTACATGTTGAACACAAATACCTGTACTTTCTACTTCTTACATGTTGAACTCAAATACCTGTACTTTCTACTTCTTACATGTTGAACTCAAATACCTGTACTTTCTACTTCTTACATGTTGAACCCAAATACCTGTACTTTCTACTTCTTCCATGTTGAACTCAAATACCTGTACTTTCTACTTCTTACATGTTGAACTCAAATACCTGTACTTTCTACTTCTTACATGTTGAACTCAAATACCTGTACTTTCTACTTCTCTCATTTTCCAAACAGCTGGTTCCTTTAGTCTGAATGTGTGTTTGATGCGTGATCATTATTCTTTAGAGTCATTGCGTGCCTATTGATTTGAACACGATCCGTGTATCCATCATTTCCTGGTCTTCTCTAAAGAAGAGGGACCAATGGAAACGTTGTCATGTTGCCGTTGTTCAGCATGGAAACATTCATTAGCTAACAATGACATTATTGTTCTATTAATATAAAGGGAGGTCAGGTACTCTTTAAAGCAGCTGCTAGTTATGGGTACTTTTAAGTACATTTCAAAGCCTCTTTACTTTCACTTGAGTAAAGAAGTTTAGTCAGTACTTCTACTTTCACCAGAGTATTTTTAAACACGAGTATCTGTACTTCTACTTGAGTAAAGGATTTGTACTTTTTCCATCTCTGCAGTCAGCACACGGTGGATATACACTGCCTCCACATTATGGGGAAAGTGGGAAACAGGTTACGACTGAATAACTTTCACTCGTCAGAAAAGTCATTATATTAGTCACTTCAGTGGCCAATGAGGCTACTGTCCCCCCCCCCCCCCCCCCCCACCCTCTCTCCCTGTCAGCAGCCAGAAGGCAGTAACAGGTGTGAAGCCCCTCTGGCCGTTGGCAAAAACAACAACTGTTGTTGAGCGGCAACAGTATAAGAAATCATGATGTTCACCACGGCCTGCTGTTCTGATGGAGGACGGCGATAAAAGTCCTAATATAAGTGTGCTTTGGCGGAGACCACAGTTTGATACATGCACAGGGCTGTGATAACACCCCGGGAGATCACAGGGACATTTATGTTGGATTGAAAAGGCTCTCTTGTATAAGCAAATATCACATGTTTCTCGCAGAAATTCTCTGAAGGAGGATATGACTGATCTTTGAGGAAACAGGGCTTTTCCAGATGGGTGTCGGATAGTAACGGAAATCAAATCGCATTAACGTTAAACTCTGTGAATGTTGCTGTGGATGGAGTCAGTGTGTCTGGCTGCTATTCATCACAATTTCCGAAACTGCTTTGAAGTTGTTGTTCTTCTTTAGAAAACATTAGTTAACAACTAGCTGGTGAGCAAAGTGGAGCATTTAGCATTCCCTCAGTAGAGGGTGGGGGTCAAAACTGAGCTAAGAGGGGTTTTTTGTAATATATTTTTACATGCAAAGAAACGAAAACAGAGAAGAGAGAGCAACACTTTCATAAGCATGCTTTATATAAACAATGCTTTAAAATCAGTGTAAACCAAAATGCTATTTCGAAAAACAGTCCCGGTACTTTCCAATGAAGATCGTTTCGAGTTTCAGATATAATTATTTCTAACTTTAGTCACATGATTCCAAACAAACGTGTCCAATACTATTTTGGATAAAGTCAAGTTTTTATGCAATGAATTCGGAAGTAAGCTCTGTTCAAGATTCAAAGATTCAAAGATGTTATTGTCATATGCACAAAGCTACAGTGTAGAAATGACAATGAAATTATATATATAATAAAATACAAAATAGTGCAAGAAGTCTATATACATGTAAATAGAATATGATATGTACAATAACAGAATATGAAATTAAATATTGTACATTAAGACGAAATTAAATACGATTTGTTGCGGTGATAACTATTTAGATAAATAAGTAGATTGACAAACAAAAATGACATGTCTTTGTGACTGTACCAGAGGTGGGAAGTAATGGAGTACAAATACTTCGTTACTGTACTTAAGTACATGTTTCTGGTATCAGTACTTTACTCCACTACTTATTTTTCTGACGACTTTTTACTTTGACTTCTTACATGTTGAACACAAATACCTGTACTTTCTACTTCTTACATGTTGAACACAAATACCTGTACTTTCTACTTCTTACATGTTGAACACAAATACCTGTACTTTCTACTTCTTACATGTTGAACACAAATACCTGTACTTTCTACTTCTTACATGTTGAACTCAAATACCTGTACTTTCTACTTCTTACATGTTGAACACAAATACCTGTACTTTCTACTTCTCACATGTTGAACTCAAATACCTGTACTTTCTACTTCTTACATGTTGAACACAAATACCTGTACTTTCTACTTCTCTCATGTTGAACACAAATACCTGTACTTTCTACTTCTTACATGTTGAACTCAAATACCTGTACTTTCTACTTCTTACATGTTGAACTCAAATACCTGTACTTTCTACTTCTTACATGTTGAACTCAAATACCTGTACTTTCTACTTCTTACATGTTGAACTCAAATACCTGTACTTTCTACTTCTTACATGTTGAACTCAAATACCTGTACTTTCTACTTCTTACATGTTGAACACAAATACCTGTACTTTCTACTTCTCTCATTTCCCAAACAGCTGGTTCCTTTAGTCTGAATGTGTGTTTGATGCGTGATCATTATTCTTTAGAGTCATTGCGTGCCTATTGATTTGAACACGATCCGTGTATCCATCATTTCCTGGTCTTCTCTAAAGAAGAGGGACCAATGGAAACGTTGTCATGTTGCCGTTGTTCAGCATGGAAACATTCATTAGCTAACAATGACATTATTGTTCTATTAATATAAAGGGAGGTCAGGTACTCTTTAAAACAGCTGCTAGTTATGGGTACTTTTTACTGAAGTACATTTCAAAGATCTTTACTTTTACTTGAGTAAAGAAGTTTAGTCAGTACTTCTACTTTCACCAGAGTAATTTTAAACACGAGTATCTGTACTTCTACTTGAGTAAAGGATGTGTGGACTTTTGCCACCTCTGGATTCAAGACGTCCTTCATTCACCCCTGCTTGACATGTTTGTAATGCAGATGTCTTCCCCGTCTTCCTGTCTCCTCCAGCTCATTGTGCAGAGAGCTGTGTTCACGGACGTTGCATCGCCCCTAACACCTGCCAGTGTGAGCCGGGCTGGGGGGGCTCCAACTGCTCCAGCGGTAAGTCGTCCAGCTGCTGCTGTCTGTAGGCAGTCATGTCTTTGTGTGTGTGTGAGAGACTCTGGTTGTCTGTGAAAGCACTCTAAACTCACGAGAGGAAAAACAGACTGGTGTCATCTTACTGACTGCTGCACGGCACCACCGCTACACCCACAGCGCTGTGTGTTCTCCAGGCTACAGGCACACATACATTGCAGCAAACACTGTACTTAAAGGTCGCCTATTATACTGTTTTTCATCAATATATTATAGTTGCTATCTGTTGCTACCTGCTGGTGGTGAGTAAATATTAAAATCAGTTAAAATTGACAACCGGTCCGCGATGTTCTTTTAATGTATCTGCCGGTCTTTGGCAGAATAAAGGTTGGGAACCCCTGGCCTAGAGCTTTGACTCACTAATAAATGCAATACCATCGCTACACCCACAGCGCTGTGTGTTCTCCAGGATTCATGCAGACCTACATTCCAGCAAGCACTGTACTTAAAGGTCACATGTCATGGCCATTTCCACTGATCATAATTCCATTGTTGAGGTCTACTATAATAGATTTACATTGTTCAATGTTCCAAACTCACATTGGTTTCGCATACAGCATCTCTATAAAGTATGTGTATTCAGCAGTATTCACTCTCTCCACTAAACGGCTCGTTGCAGCTCTTGCCCCCCCCTCCCTGTGAGCCCAGTGTGCTCCGATTGGTCGGGACCAGTTGGGACGTTGTGAATCGCGCTGAGCTCCGTGGAGATGTGATTTCCTTGTTTAGCGATACACAGCGAAACACAGCCAAACTCATCCTGAGCACACAAAGTCACAGCCGAAGTAAAAACAATAAGTGTGGCTTGATATTGAGTAAGAAAAAGGTTGGTAAACGCAGAGAGAATGGGTCTGCAGAGAGAATGGGTCTGCAGAGAGAACGGGTCTGCAGAGAGAACGGGTCTGCGGAGAGAATGGGTCTGCAGAGAGAGAATGGGTCTGCAGAGAGAATGGGTCTGCAGAGAGAATGGGTCTGCAGAGAGAACGGGTCTGCAGAGAGAATGGGTCTGCAGAGAGAACGGGTCTGCAGAGAGAATGGGTCTGCAGAGAGAATGGGTCTGCAGAGAGAATGGGTCTGCAGAGAGAATGGGTCTGCAGAGAGAATGGGTCTGCAGAGAGAACGGGTCTGCAGAGAGAATGGGTCTGCAGAGAGAATGGGTCTGCAGAGAGAATGGGTCTGCAGAGAGAACGGGTCTGCAGTGAGAATGGGTCTGCAGAGAGAATGGGTCTGCAGAGAGAACGGGTCTGCAGAGAGAATGGGTCTGCAGAGAGAACGGGTCTGCAGAGAGAACGGGTCTGCAGAGAGAATGGGTCTGCAGAGAGAATGGGTCTGTAGAGAGAATGGGTCTGCAGAGAGAATGGGTCTGCAGAGAGAATGGGTCTGCAGAGAGAATGGGTCTGCAGAGAGAATGGGTCTGCAGAGAGAATGGGTCTGTAGAGAGAATGGGTCTGCAGAGAGAATGGGTCTGCAGAGAGAACGGGTCTGCAGAGAGAATTTCGCCGCGATCCCAACTGTCTGTTATCAGCCTGCAGCCAGGGAGGAGAGATCAGCAGAGCTGCCTGCACTGAGTGTGTGAGGAAGTCCGTGGATTGGTCAATTTGGACCAATCAGCGGGGGCTTAACGTAACGGCTCCGCGGATGTAACGTAACGGCTCCACGGATTGGTCCATTTCGTTGTCATCATGATGTCCCCGGAAGAATCAAATGGACAGTGACGTATCTCCAACGAGGCGTTTTGGGGAGGTATTTTCTGTGTTAGAGTTTTACTCGCTACATGGTGTACTTTGAGGGTTTTGACTCTGCACACTGTTTACATGCATAAAAACCTTCATAACACACAAGGGGACGGGTACTAACCGGAAAAGCATGACATGTCACCTTTAAGAACATATTAAAGATACTAAAAATAAACATAATACATGTTAGTTATGTATAATTAAAGTGACACATTCTTTGCTGCAACTTATCATGCTGAAGTGTTGAAGGCACAATGTAATGGCCGTAGGAAAATGACACCATCAACGTTTATCTTGGTTCCCTGTTAGCTTCTCCTTCCCTCTGTCTGTCTCCGAGTCACAATCTCCCTGGGAAAATTAAATACTTAGAATAAACATGGAGGCTCTGTAGTGTTAACGGAGAGAGAAAACTCTTCATTTCTCCCACATGGCCAACACCAGCACGGCTAAACTCTTACACAATGTAACGTTAGCCAGGCTGCTAGCGGTAGCCATGTTGCTAACGATATCTTTAAGTAGATGTATTTCTTCATATGCAAATCAACAGACAGGATACTTGTTATCAATGTCTGCAATGCAGTATATCTGGAAACTAGTGCAGTGTGTTTTGGGTCGTTGAGAGGTATGCTAGCTTGAAAAAATAATGTTTTTTCGATTACAAAGTCATTTTTAATTAGCTCGAACAAATCCAAACTTCTTAGATAAATAAGTTAACCTTAAAGAATGGTTTGATGAATTTTGGGATTGCTACCAATATACAATATCAATGGCATCCGTACCATCTACGATTAACTTAGTCAGGCATTCATGCTAAGCTATCATTGATGCTAAGCTATCGGCTAACCGCATCTGTACTGCAGCTCTGTACTTGTACTCAGACATGGGAATGATATACATCTGAACATGTCACTCTCAGAAGGAACCAGAATGTAGTTCCCAACATGTTTTTTTTAACTATCAGGTAATGTCATGTGTTGATCTTAATATTATCGGATGTATTTGTTCGCTGCCTTGCTGCTGGATCCCTGGAGTCCAACGATGTTTGTCAGTTCATCTGTTGGTCTAACAGTTTAGATCAGAAGTATTTTCTACTTCTGCTGACACCTAATCTTTCTGGGGACCTCCTAAACTGTCCTCCATTATAAACAACCCTCTATAGGCCAGATTATAGTTCGTAGTGGATAGCCACGGTCCCAGCATGACTATGTATAAACCTAAATTTATATAATATACTTGCCTGCAATGTGAACCAGTAAATGTTTAAGTACCCCTTTGTTTTATTTTAGAAATGTATAGTACGGGTCCCAAGCACATAGGGCTATTTCACATTAGCATACATTGCATTAATTAGCATTATAACCTATGCAAACAATGTTGAGGTTGCTTAATCAATTTCTGACATGTTTTATGATCAGAAATTGTAGTTTTAACCCGAACATATCCATATTTGTACTCCTGGAGGGCTGATTTTGATGAATTTTGGGTTGATTTTGAAGTTTTGTAGGACGCTGGGCACTTTGTATTGGACAGATACGTACATTATGTTTGGACATTTTAGAAGCAGATTACCATTAGCCCTCTGTTTGTGCTTCCTTTACTATGGTCTGGCTTAACAGAAATGTAAGGCCGTTTTAATTTTTAAAACAAATTAGGTTGCACGGTAGCAAAATCTTAGTTTGTCACAGCTAATAACATTGAGATACTTCCCCTGAAGTCATGTCACTACAGCTTTTGGTCTGCCAATAAAAGGCGCCTGAGATGGAACAATAATCAGCTCTTCTTTCTATGAATGGCGTGTTTGTGTTTGGGGATTTACTGTACTTCTGTACTTTCTAATGTGTTTTTTTAAATGTGTTGACTTTAAGATGTGATGTCCTTAGATCAACTTCATTGAGCCATCTTTAGCACTTGGTTGAAGTTTGTCATACCCATAAAAGTTCCCCTGGGGACACTGTCAGTTAGTTTATTGTGGTGTTTTAAAAGCTAACCATATCCTTTAAAGTTTATGTCATTGAGTTTATCCAATAAAGTGTCCGTAATGCAATAGGCTTGTTTGGTAGAAGCTCATAATTAGAAAACTGTGTTCAATTGAAAAACAGAACATATCTTTTTTGTTATTACATGGCTTAATTAGATACCATCCTGATTGGTCAATTTTGACGTTTCAGAGGTTGTTAATACTCGATAACGCACCGCTGCTGAGCAAATAAATGACCGTTGCTAAGAAGAGAAAGCAACAACCCGGTCGGGTGTTCATTTTTCACTAATGACCGCCTCGCTGCACGTCCCTTACTTAAAGGGGACCTATCAGGCAAAATGCACTTTGTGATGTCTTTCATACATCAATATGTGTCCCCGGTGCGTCAGGGAACTCACGCAGCTTCAGAAAATAAAACCCTCTCTCTTTTCCTCCGTACCCAAATCTTTTAAAAACGGGGGTACAACGAGCGGATACAGATTTGCTGCAGATATGACGTCAAATCGGCGGCGGACCCAAAGAGAGTTGCTATCAGAAACAATGTCTGACGTGTTTTGGACGTAATCTCGTCTTTGTTTACATTAGCAAGCCTCGCTAACACTCAGAGCTAACCTGTACTGGAGAACACATGTGTTTTTAAAAAGCAGGAAATAAAAAAAGAACTCACCTTGTGATAAACCTGCAAGAGAAAAAGCATTTGAGCTCCATACTGTTTCAGAAAGAATCTTTGATGTGGTTTAGAACAGGATGGCGTTTTATCACATCAGAATTTAACTTTATCTCCGGTAGCATTCTGATCAGGCATTAGCTCCGCCTCTTTTTCATTCTTTTTTTAAGCTAAGGACCCAAAATCCGCGTTTCTCTAACAGGGCTTCAAAAGAGGGGTTAGAGCAGTATGAGGCATGGCTACAATGGGGGATCTGTTTGGTATTTTAAGCAAAAAACTTAACAGACATGTTTTTTATAGGTATGGCCCTACAGTATATTTTTTCCAATATAGCATAATAGGTCCACTTTAATGAAGCCATGTAGAAGTAACAATTTATAGACACTTGCATTTTGAAGCATTTGGACTACCTTGTAAATCTTTTTAATTTGCACACGACATATATTGTATGTCTGTCCGTACTCTGTGGCTCTCCTCAAGGTTTCTAACATTTCTTCCCACTGTGGGGGTTTCTTAAGGGGTGTTTCCTTGTCCGATGTGAAGGTCTACGGACAGAGGGTGCCTTATTCATATTCTGTACAAAGTG